AACTCTTGACCCTCGGCACCGTCGGTAATAGCTTAGTAAACGTCATCAAAATTATGGTTCCATTATTTGACATGATTCCGATAATCATCACATCTCCTATGGACACTAAATGTGATGGACTCGTTAATTACAGTTATTAATTTCAATCTATAATTATTAATTCTTGTATCATAAGCAGATTGAATAACATAATAGCAATTATTATCCAGCCAAACAAGTGATTCATACAATGGAAACATATTATATGAGAAGTATGATAAGACCCGACGAGAAGTATGACGAAAATCACACGAACTAAGAACGCGATCGAACATTATACTTACATAACTCATTATATTTGCAAAAGTTGAATAACTAAAACTAAACTAAATAAAAAGATAGTAGTTCCTTTCCGTCACTACATCCTTATTTGTAAATTCCTTTTATTTTTATTCTTTGTTTAATTTTAACTTATTATTTTTTTCCTCTTGTAATTACTCTTAGGTTATTTAATTATTTGCTTATTTTATATTCATTTTTTTTTTAGTTTGTTATTTTGTAATTATAAACATTGTAACCATATATGTGTGCAGATGAAGTGTCGGATTAAATGTCTTAATGTCTTAGTTTATCTTCAAGTTACTAACAACTATATGCTATCAAATGTGTAAACGCATGTAGGAACTTTGACTGATAATCAATAAACAATTACCAACTCGCAATAGTAACTAGTTAATTGGATTGCTCGAAATGCAATTAGGTGTCGACAGAAATTTGCAGCAAGGTTTTAATCTGCTTAACAAGGACTCAAAGTGCTGATTGTAAAGTTACAGTGATTTGTGAATGTGCAACACATTAATTTATATTAGCAGCATTTTCATTTCTCCTAGTACAGTGCTTACTGCCGTTTGATCATCATCTATTATTAATAATATTTTCAATGAGATTTTCAACAAAAGTCCAGTTTACTTTCTCTACCTGGAATGTTCGTGTTTTTAAACTCACAACGAAAGGTGCAAAATTTTTTTCAGTGTCAGCTGGGTGTTGGCGAGTCGACGTACCCAGCCAATAGATCATGTGAGTGACGCAACTCCAAAATGGCGTCAAATTTTTTTGTATATCTCTAATATGTGAATAATACATGTTATAACGTTTTATTTAGGGTCTGTTTCACAATGTCTGAATAAAGTGTTGAATACGTAATTGACAAATAAATTAACTGCCACATAAAACTTCCTGTTAAAATAGTTTGCGTTTCACAAACGTCTTACCATTAAGTTTATGTGTCAGTTTGTTACTTGTAAGATAGAGATGGCAACGTCGTATTTTGGCGTTTCGATTTAGGGGAAATGTGAGAACATACAATTTTTTTTTTTAATTTAATCACTCTTGAAAGCATTCATAATGCATTTCTTTTTTGCATTATTTTGTGTTACGTATTTATATACTCTTAAACAATTATATTGATACAAAATATTTTTTAGATTAATTGCAATATTGTGCAACGAATGTATATTATCTTTTTTGCTAATATAGGAAACCTATTTTTACAAACAGCGTAAGTCCGCTCAAGAGGATTCCTACTTCTTATTCGTTATAGAGATGTTCTGCTGGTGTGACAGGATTTTGAAGTGGAGTCAACAGATAAAATGTATTTTGTTAACCTTTATCACCAACAAATACACTATTACCAAATTCTCTGTTCAAAATCCTTGTTTTATAAACGAATTTTTAAATATAGTTTGGTCGTGTGTGGCTTCAGGCTATCTAGCCACTATGTCCATTAGTTTCAAGTCTGAACCAACTATTGTTTGAACGAGAATTGGCGTTTTCTGTTCCGATAGCTTTCTGCATTGTCACCACCTGTAGATTTTATTAGGACGTGGGTACAATGAATGGCACCAATAAGCCATGGAAATCTAGCTATCTATACTAAAATATAAGGAGACATAAAAATCTCCTTATAATTCAGTAACATCTGAGAACTAAACAAACTGTACGTACACAGTTCAATATCGTGCGATTGCTTGTGACACCACATTCACAATTCAACAAGCGGATGCCTTACTCACTCCAGAAAAATCACCAAATACGTTCAGAAAACTTCCAGTTGCATAATATCGCAGTGTCAACAGAATTCTATCCATAGATGATATAGCATAATTCCTGAAACAATGATTGGTAAATATTCCGAACAGTACGTCTCGTTTTTCAAGCTAGAAAAAAATTTTAATCGATAGAGAAATGTTAATAATTAAATATTACATACGTGAAAACCAAGGCAAACACTTACTTTTAATAAAAAAAAATATTTAACACTTGTTATTTTCACTAAATAAATCCGCCATTTTGTGTTTGACAACATGTATAAATTTAAGAATTCACTCACTTTTCCAAATTATAACCTTCGCATTATTAAAAAAAGAGTTTTTAAAAATACTAAAAGTACTGTTACACTGAAGTTTTCTGGGTGGTCATAAAAAAAAAAACCTAACATCGAAGGCTTAACATCGGACATTAAGTGTACCCTAAGTCACAAATTTTAAATATTAGAAATTGTTAATAATACATGTTCATGAAGTAAAAACTTGTGTTTTTGTGATATATCCGTGTATTTGTGTCTTCTTACAACGTAAAAAGTGAAAACGTAAGTTTTTAACTTAAAATAATAGTCTATAATGAATAATGGACGCACAGTAATGACGGATTTCAGTTGTATGAAATTTAAAAACTTTGTTAATTTTTTTCCTCATAATCTAGTGGTTTTCATTGATTATAACTTGTATAATATTTAATTATTAACATTTCTCTATCGATTAAATTTTTTTTCTAGCTTGAAAAACGAGACGTACTATTCGGAATATTAGCCCAATGATTATTCAAGAACCTATTAGAAACAACATGGATATTAAGTAGATAGACATTTCACTGTATACGTTATTTATAAAAAATAAAACACATAACCTTTCAAATTTGATTTACTCTTTCAAAGTTGTGTCACCAATCAGGAATCTCTATTGATGAGAAAATCCTACCCCTTGAGGATTCAACAGCATTTCTTGGAATAAGCGTTGACTCCAAGTTGCAATGGGGATTACATGTAGATAAGTTAGCTAAGAAATTGAGCGCTGCCGTCTTTGCCATACGCAATTTCAGGCAGCTAACTAATGAGGAAACTGCAAAATTAGTTTATTATGCTTATTTTCACAGCATAATGTCCTATGGTGTCTTACTTTGGGGTTCCGCATCCGGTCTAGACACAATATTTGTATTACAAAAGCAGGCTATACGGGCCGTCTATGGCTTGGGTCCACGTGAGTCACTACGACATACATTTAAGCAAATAAAACGTCTTGACGCTCCCGTCGCTTTACATACTTGAGAACATCATGTATGTACGTAATAATATCGACCTATTTACGAAAAAACAATCCACATCGCGTCGGGGCCGTGGTGACACTCTGGAAGTACCGAGGTTTAGATTAGCTAAAACCAGAAAGTCGTTTCTTGGAAGATGCATCAACTTTTATAATAATGTCACCTACATCCACAAACAACTAAGTATAAACAATTTCAAACAATTTGTAAAAGCTACCTTAATGGCAAGGGCCTACTATAATATCCAAGAATACATAGAGGACAAGGATGTTTGGAAATGACTCTTGCTCTGCACTTGCAAGACCCCTGGCTGCTGCTGATTTTATACCCAAATAAGTGTGTATAATTGCATTAAAAAAAAATATATATATAACAAAAAGAACAAGACCGCAGAGTTTCTTGCCGGTTCTTCTCCGTGCAGGTCTAGTTTAGTTAACCGGTGGTAGATTTTTGTTGACGTTCAATAAGAGCTTAAGTTAGGCCTATATTGAATAAATATACTTTGACTTGACTTTGACTTTGACTTTCTGTACTGGAAGAAATTTTGTCCTCAATAAGTGAATGGAGATAATAAAAGGTATCTTTATTAAATCGAAATCGAACTCTAAATTCCTCATCATCAAATGTGATTGGAACGACGTCGAAACACAGGATTTCTGCGTGGCTACGATAAACGATAAAAAAATAATCTAATTCGACGTCCAACGCATTAAATAAATACATTTTTAATATTTTTCTATTTCACAACATACGAAATACGTATAAATATATATAAATATACGTAAAAATACTAATTCCTTCTTGAAAATGATCTGTCAAGTAACAAACCATCAAATAAATTCCTTATCTGACAGATAATCTTACCTATAATTTACTTCGAACTTTATTTGCCAGATACGCTTAACAGAAGATTGTGAAACGCAAACGATGACTTTATTCGTCAGATAAGTGGCAAGTAGCTTATTAAGGACTTTATTTGGACATTGTGAAACAGACCCTTACTCTTAAAACTTTGTTTAATTTTTTGTTTTTCATTTCGTGTCTAAGAGGGTTCACTTCAACCTGAATAAAAGGTATAACTCTCTGAGCATACTTTGTTCAAAGTGAACAATATTCCATATGAATGCGTTGTAATTCGTAAATAACTTGAAAAATTAGGGTTTGCAATTATGATAGTTCTTAGAAAAAGAAATAATAAGTTAATAAAAGAAAAAATAAAATAATTGTATTAGATTGAAACAAAAATTAAAAAAGGAACACACTTTTTTCTTCTTTTATAAGCTTGCTACATTAAAAATTTTAATCATGACTAAGAAAGGTAATTTAATATTGCTATTATAAATTAGATCACGTAGAGACAGTTGCGCTTAAACATTTCATATGGAGTTACGACGAAAGCACAGAATACCAAAGTTGCAATCATCCTGAAGAGATAAAATGTTATTACTTTAGCTTATTCATAGTCTCCCTCGAGGGCGTCTGAGTCAAGTTCAGAAGTTAAAACAGACTTATAATATTTTAACTCAAGGGTGCGATATAATAAAATAATACCAGCCGCAGTGCAAATCGAGACTAAGAAAGTGACCGTTCTCAAAGGAATTAAAGACGCATTCGCCGTGACCAACGATCCGTTGACCCACGAAATGTATTTCGGTGGAAGCAACGGAATCTACAGGTATGATTCTGTATTGCAGACCCTTAAGCGTCTGGCGGTGAAGAATCTCGACATCTGGTGGTTATTTTTCAAGAAGAATATATATTTCATCAGATTTCCCAGTCTGAATGCATACTACTACCACGAGAGGACTGTCAAACCGATCAGTTACCTTAAGAATGTCACCGTCAACCAATTTGTTTTTGACAATGAGGACAACTTATTCTTTATCAACGGCACCGGCCTTTACGGGATCAAGAACGGTGAAAGCGATATCATACTGATGAGAGACAACCCTCGATTCCTCGGGATGGCCGCGAACAACAAAGGTCACGTGTACCTGTGCAGCGAGAACGAAATATTCGTCATAAGTAAAATGATACAGAAGGTGAAGAAGATCGTAAATATCCAAGGTGTGCTAGGAATGACCTTCGACAAGGATAACAACTTAATCTATTCCGACTCACGAGAAATAATTCGTCTGCTGCCGGTATCCAAAAGCTTTCTCAAATTATAAGCACGAGGTTCTACAACTCGACCATTATTCGAACATAGGAAAAACATTGATGCATAATGCCATTGATAATATAATTTTGAATGAAGATGATAAAAGTTTTACCAAATTTCCTTTTTTATTACAGTTTACACTTAATGCAAAACCCTTTTCAGACTCTAATGAAATGTAACGTTTATATGCGTCGACAAATTAATTCAGAATAGTATCTAAGTCATTGCTTAGGTATTATTTTGAATCAATCATATCTTTGAATAGATGGCAATTAAAATTCCACATGTTGCGATGAAATACATTTCAGAAAAGTAATAAATAATGTCAATATCATCACATTGATAACATTTTTTCTAGCTAGGTCAGATAAAATTATAATCGTCTATTTGACGTTTTAGCTTCGTCTAGTCCAGAAAAAGTGACGCAAAACAGTTTTTATGGATTTATAACAGCAATTTTTTTTGGTAGGTTGGTAGGATAATTATTAGTCAATAAACCCTGTTTGTCAACTGTTTTGACGAGAAAGTTTAAAGTTAAAAAAATCCATAATTAAAAAAAAATATTTTTCAAACAAACTAATAAAGAATCAAAATTTGTAACACCAATACAACTACAACTGACTGATTCATACATTCAGAGACTTTTCATTCGTTGCCACAGCATTCGTGGCATTACAAGCCTCTCCTAACAGTATGTTTTGTCTCTTTCAAATTCATTCAACCCATTCATATGCCCGCTGTATAACGAGGTGCACATTAAAATTAATTTTATGAATTATTACTGTGTGTAATGTAAAAAACTATTTAATTATCTATTGTCTTTCTTTTAAAAAACATTGCACTTACTTGAGGATAACATTATCCTGTGATGTAAGGACGTTTTAAAAACATAAATTTCACATGGATACACACACCCAGATGCGAAACAGCTATCTGTGGTTCATGCAAACAGTTGTCCCGTGTGGGAATCGAACCCAAGACCGCCGACGGTGAAGCCAATACCTTTGGCATTTGTGCTACGGAATCATTATGAATTATTTGAGATGAGGTTCTTTCCACCATTACGAACATTGCGGCGTTGCCCCTAATCCGACATTTGCTAATTGGCTCGTTATACTTTAAAATTAATTACCATCCGCTGCCAAAGGCCAATTTTATACTTTGAAAATTTAATTAAAATGTCTCGATAATAGCATGTTCAACAATGGAGCAGAGAGGAACACAAAGCCTTCATTTTCGATTTTATTTTGCCTATCGCCATGGTTAGATATGTTCCAAATAAATATTTTGACACAACTTTGTGACCAGAGTAAGAGACGCAAGGGTTAGCCACATCATTATGACATGAACTTAGCCTATTTCACTACACCGGTTACCTTTTACGGTGGTAGGGCCACGCAGCAGCCTCGGCTGTTGCACGAAAGGGCAAGCCCGTCCGGGTAAGTACCACGATCTCACAGAAGACCAGCGTAAAGTGGAAGTATGACAAATACTTTCGCGTTTCGTCTGGTGAGTGAGGTAGCCGGAGCCCAATTTTCAAAAGAATGTCAACGCATCTATAACCCTCGGGTGTGGCAGATGTCCACGGGCGGCGGTATTCACTTAACATCAGGTGAACCGTCTGCTCGTTTGAAAACTTTTCGCATAAAAAAAAAAACACCGAGCGTAAACAAGTGTGTAGGATTTTGCACGCATTTATGGAAACAACGAACAACACTATGTTGTTTGAAAATAAAAGCACACGGGTTATAATAGATGTCATTACGATTATTGTTCTTTCCGCGTCTTGCAAATGTAAGACGGCATTCCACTAAGCCATTATTAATCTATATATATAAAAATGAATCCGTATTTCGCTTGGTCACGCCATCACGCGTGAAAGACTGGACCGATTTCACTAATTCTTTTTTTATAATATTCCTTGAAGTAGGAAGATGGTTCATACGGAGAGAACAATTTAAAACATTGACTGAACAAGTCTAAAAACAATAAGTAATAACAATTAAAAGTCAGTTTGAACTTAAATACCATACCATAAAGTTTAAGTATTAGTGGAGGGGTTCCGGGAAGGCAAAACAAGTGAGTGACTGTGGTAAAATGTCACTTGAAATGTAAACGTCTCTTTGCTGTGCATCACTAAATAGTATAAAACAAAGTCGTCCCGCTGTCTGTCTGTACCCCACCCCCCATGTACGCTTAGATCTTTAAAACTACGCAACGGATCTTGATGCGGTTTTTTTTACTAAATCGCGTGATTCAAAAGGAAAGTTTATATGTGTAATACATTGCACCCGTGCGAAGCCGGGGCGGGTAGCTAGTCTATTATAAATCACTAGATGAACAAATATCAAGGTTTCGTAATAAACGCAGTTTAAGGTTTCAGTACGTTCCAACTAAATAAATAAATATTTGAAGATATATTTATTTTGAACTTTATCTAGTGTCAAAGTAAGCAAAGCCTGTTTTATTTCTGTACAATATGTTTGATAAACATAAATATATTATAGATATATTAATAACTGGATACTAGAAAAACATATTATTACATAATAATTTCTTGTATTTACGCGATTACACATTATAAATGAAACTAATTTTACGGATTTATCGCGTTTATTTTTAATTTTAATTCCCGACGTTTCGAACCCTTTACAGCGTTCATGGTCACGGGACAGACTGAGGTGTTAGACGTCTGATTGTCATAGTTAACCCGGGCTACCGTCAGTTTTTGAATTATTAATTTTGTGTCCGATCTATGCAGAGGGAGCTAATTGTATCTTGTCTTGCAGTAGTGGTTCGTTTGGGCCTAGATTTAATTTTATTGATGACAGGATCCCAAGCTGATGGTAGTACCCAACCTTCTTCTCTATTGAAATTAGGGTGTTTTTTAATTTCAATAGCCTCGCGAATCATCCTTGGGAGGAATCGGTGTTCTTTTGCAAGGATCTGTGGTTTGTCAAACCTGATGTAGTGGTTGGGCCTATTCAAAATGTGCTCACAAACTGCAGACCATGAACGCTGTAAAGGGTTCGAAACGTCGGGAATTAAAATTAAAAATAAACGCGATAAATCCGTAAAATTAGTTTCATTTATAACATATTATTACGTTTATCACAAAATAATCCTCTAGTAGCGGGGGGATCTAACCTACAGCCTCTTTTGCAGATAACACGTTCATTATCCACTTTGCCAATCGGGTTCCCTAATAAGAGCAAATTTTAGATTTGTTATAAAAGTCTTGGGGGCATTTGTGGCTGAGAGCCTTTAATCTTTCGGCAGTTAGTGAACAGTATTGGGATGGGGATTATTCCTTTACTAATCTGCGCCTTACACGCTTACTGTTATAATCTTCTCTGCTTGAGTAGGCTTTAAATAAATCAACTTCTCTCCTTTTACTACGGTGGTAGGGCCGTGCAGCAGCCTCGGCTGTTGCACGAATGGGCAGGCTCGTCCGGGTAAGTACCACGACCTCACAGAAGACCGGCGTAAGGTGGAAGTATAATTCTTTCGCGTTGGAGTAATTATTGCGCTGGAGAACTTGTAAACTTCATCATCCGTACAGCTAAGGAAAGCTATTTGTCCGTCTGTCCATTACATTACAACGTCGCCTACGTTTTTCAAGACAAGAGTGAATAGGTTTTTACTGAGCTACCGCGCTTACCATCAATGGCCATCATCAGGTAGGATGGCAAAGTAATGGGGTCCGTTTTACCCTTTGGGTAAGGAACCCAAAAAAAAGTAATTGTATCGTCCGTAGTCGTGATTTTAATGAACGGAAAATGTTTGAACAAAGCGGAAGATCGTGCACTGTGTTTGTATAAAACTTCACGGTAACTTAGGCGTTAGATTTTTTCCTCATGTGTGTACAACTATAATACATCGTAAAACTATGTTTTCGTCTACTCCCTATATACAGCGTGTCTTTACAATCGCGACAATAAATGAACACACATAAAGAGGATAACTTTTTAAAATTGTAATAAAAATAAATATTTACCAAGTTATTAAATTTTCCAAAACAAACAATTTTAAAACACCCTTACGTATAAAACTGTAACGTAAAGTTCATTGGTAAAGGTCACAAAGCATAATATGAATGGGTTGAATGAATTTAAAAGAGGCAAAACATACTGTTAGAAAGAGAGATAAAGAAGTTTTATATAGATAAAATGTACTCATTTTACTACTACGCTCACAAAGTAGGGGATCACTGATTAAATCTATAACATTTTTTCTCATTTGCTTTATATATTGGAAAATAAACCAGCGTATTGATTTATTGAGCCATTCTTGCAATAAATGAGTTTTCGTACAAAATTAAAACATTCAAAACTGTCCTCGGAACTTTACCTAGTCATTGACTTTCAAACAGTGACACAATTGACAATTAGCTGTATTAGCAGCGGCTGAGAGTCTATATTACTATCACCAACTGACTGCAGCCTGTAACGCTCAATTAACTGGAAACGACCGCGGGGCTGACCGGTTCCGTCCGGAATTCAACAATAGAATTAATCGCATTGCGGCCACCGCAGAAAGCTCCAAATTTAATTAAGCTTGTGCGTCAAAAGTTTATCGCGTGCACATTTCTGTTCTGCACTTACGTAATTGGATTTAACTTCACTACATAGTATAAAACAAAGTCGTCCCGCTGTCTGTCTGTCCCTATGTATGCTTAGATCTTTAAAACTACGCAACGGATCTTGATGGGGTTTTTTTTTACTTGATAGAGTGATTCAAGAGGAAGGTTTATATGTATAATACATTGCACTCGTACGAAGCCGGGGCGGGTCGCTAGTCTCTTTATAAAACACAGTAATAGTTAAGATACAGCCCCACGGTATTATAGACCGATAAAAATCTCAATCTATTTTATCTACATTTTTTCGCACGTTTTTTTCGCATTGTAAGCAATGCTTGACACATGTATTGTTATGTCCTTTACATCACGGAAACAATTTCAAATATCGTTCCATAACGATAATGCGAACGAGAAATGTCGCCCTT